TTTAACTTCCTTATGAATAGATTTCGTCCAGTTTTTAGGAATAAACATGTTTGATCAATATTACAAGCGATGTTTTCTTTGGAAAACAAACATCTCCACGTGGAAAATTTTAACCCGTTGAGGCATTTTGATTAGTTTGAATTCTGATCGAATACAAACTAGAATATTTTTGTGTGTGTTAAGCGTCTGCTCCCTTGTTTATATTTTGTCATCACAAAAGTAGATCAATTGATAGTCCTTTCCTATTGTTGCCTGTGGGGTCCTGGGTGCCCTCTGAGCTGGCTTGTTTTCTTGCAGACGTTTCATTACCCAAACTAGGTAACCTCATCAGTGCTCAGTAACATCATCACTAGCACGGATGAGGTTACCTAGTTTGGGTAAGGAAACATCTGCAAGAAAACAAGCCAGCTCAGAGGGCACCCAGGACCCCTCATGTCAACCCTGAGCTACAAATATTTGTTAATAGTGTTGCCTGCTATCTAATTTTTTGGAGAAAAAAATTGATCAGAGGTTTTATTTGAACAAAATGCTTTGACGTATAAAAAGGAAAAACACCGATGGCCTCTTTTGAGCTCAGAATACTTGAAACTGATTCTGAGCCTTAGGGGCATGCTGGGAATTTGTACCACCAGAGAGCTGAAAAAGCAAAACTTTCCCCAAACCTCACCTTGTGAATAGCAGCACGGATACAGAGAAAGCTGGAGAACAACAGAGGTATTGAATTGCAAATGACTTCCTTGAAAAGCAGGAAAGACTTGTGAACCGCCTAGAGCAGGGGTGGGCAACCGTGGCTCTTTTATGACTCGTGGACTTCAACTCCCAGAATTCCTGAGGCAGCCATGCTGAGGGGAAAGGGAGAGGTTTCCAAGCTGAGCCAGGCTGGCTCAGGAATTCTGGGAGTTGAAGTCCACCAGTCATGAAGGGGCCACAGTTCCCCCATGCTGGCTCAGGAATTCTGGGAGTTGAAGTCCACGAGTCATGAAGGGGCCATAGTTCCCCCATGCTGGCTCAGGAATTCTGGGAGTTGAAGGCCACGAGTCATAAAAGAGCCAAGGTTGCCTACGCCTGGCCTAGAGTCACTTGGTTGAGTTAAGCAGCTACAGAAATTGAATAAAATATCGCACACTGTTGCTCTCGGATGTCCTGATGTCAACCTTCTGTGTCGCATAGGAAAGAGATGGATGATCGGATTTTCACTAGCAGCCAGACGGGGGCTGAAAACGATGCTCGAGGCGAACCTTCAGAGGAAACCCTGGTATTGTATCATCCCAAAATTCCTAATTGTGTTTATGCCAGGCGGGTCTCGCAGAGAGAGAGAGGGAAAAGGCCGTCCTTCGGAGGGCATGGCAGAGAGCACCACCAGTAAAATTGTCTGTTCGGTTCATTCCGAGGCTCTGCCTCTGGTGACCTGACACGTTCTCCCACAACAAAGCGGCGTTTGAGCTTGCGCTTCTCCGGCCGATTTCAGGAAAAGCCGGGGCCGGTCTCTGGGACTGGCAAAACGAGATCAGCAGGGCAAGACTTCTGGTGGGGTGGGAAAACCCGCTGGTCACAGCTTTCCCATGCAGGGAAATAACCGGCCCTTGTACTACCCGCCCTGCTCAGCAGAACAAAAGTCTAGCCATGTGTGCGATTCGAACTAAATGCCCTGCCTGCTGAACCTGTTTCTCCCCCTATCCCCCCTAAATATCGTTTGCTTAGATGAAGCCAGAAGCCACCTTATCTGAGGCCTCGGACCAAGGAAGTGTGTCTCTGGATGGGCAGCTGCCCGCAGGCGATCTGGTGCCCTGGGCCCTCGGGGGAAGGACAGAAGCGGGGAGCGAAAGTGACCAGCTGTTTACAGAAAATGAAGAATTCAGAACACCCCTGGAAGGTAGGTGTGAGCCCAAGTCAACGCTGCAATGTTCCCGTGAGCAAACTTAAGTAAATAGTTACGTGCCCCTGTTTGGTTTTGTGTGTCATGTTTAAAAGAAGCTTGGGTATTATAGATTTATATGTAGGATTTTTTAAAGGAGGTGTCCGGGGATACCCCAACTGCACAGGACGGGATGGTTGAGTGTGGAAGGGAGGGAGGGAGGAAGGAGGAGTGGTGGTAGAATGAGAGGAGGAAGGAGTGGTAAGTGGAAGAGGGTGGTGCGGGAGGGGTACACCGGACACGTCTGTGAATGTTTTGTTTAGCTTTATTCTCTTTGGTTGATATTGTGATAAAAGATTTATGTTTGCGATTTTTAAATGAAAAATAATAAAAAAAATTTAAAAAAAGAAAAAAAAGAAGCTTGGAACATTTATATAGAGCACGCCGAAGCCTTGTAGATAATAGTAACCTGGCTCATAAACCAAAAGTCTTTACCCCCTGTTTCAAAACAGAGAAGGGAAAAACAAGAGCTGCACCAATAACTGTTGAAAGGGCAGCTCCGGTGAAGGCTCTCGGAGAAGGCCACTCTCACTCCTTCGTCTAGTGAAGGGACGGTGATTGCACGTTGTCTTGAAAAGGCGTGAATCGTTCCACGCGGATCCAGGCACACGGACAATCTGTTCACCCACCTGAGCAATTGTTTCAGGATCATTTTTTTTTTATTGGAAGCTTTGGCAAAGCAGTTTCTGTTTGGGAAGGGCAGCCGGCCGGCGAAATTGCTTAAACGGCCCACGGGAAGAAGAAGCAGGCCGGCTGTTCGTTGCAGGAAGGGGTTTCCTTTCATTTGTCTCTGAAAGCAGTCCTTTAGTTCGCCACGAATTTCTGATGACTGTTTGCGTCTTCTCCTCCTCCTCTTCCTAGTTCTTGGAACGCAGATAGACTACCTAGAGCAGTTTGGGATGGCCTCGGTAAGTAAGATTACCTGTGAAGGGAGACTGCCCTCTGCACGACTGCACAAAGGAAGGTGCGAAGTGGCAGCCTGTGCCGGCTTCACAAACCCCATTTCTTCCAGCTGAAGGAGTCTGTTTGGAGGAAGCAGTCCCTATATTTGAAGTTTGACCCTCTGCTCAGGGAAAGCCCGAAGAAAAAAGGTCCCAGTCGTGACGAAGGAACGTTTCCGGGGGCTGCCTTGCTACAAAACCTGTAGGTATCCTGGCCTTTTGCAAGTCGAAGACAGGCAGGTGCTGCGATTTTAAATCCAACAGGTAAGAAAAAAAACGCCTCATCTACGACGGTCCTGTCCTTGTTTCTTTCTAAGCAGGACTTCCACCAAGACTGCCTCCCCTGAAGTCAAAGCACCTGGACAGGAGGAAAAGCTGGTGGACCTCGACTTCCAAATTTGTCCAGATCCGGTAAGTGCCATCCGAACAGTTTGGGCGCTTTGTTCCGTTGAACGTTTGCAAAATGGAAGCTGGGGCAAATTTAAAAGGACAAGATAGCGCTGACAAATGGAAGTTTTGGGCCTGCAGGCTTCCCTTTCCATGCCACAGGAGATGCCAGGGGTGTCTTTAGATCTGCTCAGGCAAAGAAGCCATCATTCCCAGGCATGAAGATGTAAGGAACTGGAGTCACTATAGATCAGGGGTGGGGAACCTTGGCTCTTTTATGACTCGTGGACTTCAACTCCCAGAATTCCTGAGCCAGCCATGCTGAGGGGAAAGGGAGAGGCTTCCAAGCTGAGCCAGGCTGGCTCAGGAATTCTGGGAGTTGAAGTCCACAAGTCACGAGGGGGCCATAGTTCCCCCATGCTGGCTCAGGAATTCTGGGAGTTGAAGTCCACCAGTCATAAAAGAGCCAAGGTGGCCTACCCCTGCTCTAGGTTGTCCTCAGCCCAACATTTCTGTTGCTAAGCGAGACGTTTGTGAAGTGAGTTTTGCCCCATTTTGCGACCTACCTTGGCACAGCTGTTAAGGGGATCCCTGCAGTTGTTAAGTTAGTCACACGGTCGTTAAAGGAATCTGGCTTCCCCCATGGATTTTGCTTGTCGAAAGGTCGCAAAAGGGGATCACGCGACTCTGCGGTTGTCCTAAAGATGAGTCGGTTGTCGAGGGCCTGAACTTGGGATGCTGCAAGGTCTTCAGTCCCTTTTTTCCCAGTGCCGTCGTGACTTGGAACGGCCACTAAGTGAAACGTCGTAAGCAGAGGGCTCCCTGTCTGCCGTCGAGTAAATAAGCTTTTCTCGAGTCCTATACCCCGTAGGCGTCCTCCTCAATGAGACACGCGCTCCGTTGCTTGCCACAGGCCAAGACGCCGGCCCAGCTCCCCGCCAGCCAGGAGGCGCCCTTCTTCTCCTGGGCTCAGCCTTCCGAAGCGGCCGCCGAGGGGCTGACCCCCGGCCGGAAAGACACGGAAGAAGACGCCTTGCAGAAGGTCACGCTGGAGAGGGATGCTACTGTCCAGAGCCTCACTGCCAAGGTACGAGGACGCCACGCTTTATTTCCATCCTCTCTCCCCGAAAATAAGACTTTGTTTTCTTACCTACATACTATTCGATCGGTGGAGCCATCCTTTATTGGCTGGGGAATTCTGGGAGTTGAAGTCCACACATCTTAAAGCGGCCACATTTGGAGACCCCTGCTTTAAGAGCAGACCTGGGCATTCCAGCCACCACCCCCCCATTGACCCTTTGGCTTTCCCTGCCCAGCCCATGGTGGGGGCCACAGCAGCAGCAACGGCCCTGCTGATTTGGTCCACCCCAACAGTCCCAGCTTCACAGGTGGGGCCCTTGGGAAAATGGACTGCCCACTCCAGTTAAATGCCCGCGTTACTGCCTTTGCGTGGTCAGGAATCTTGTAGATTTTGATATCGCAGCGGTTTTATCGAGTTTCCCCAGCGGAATGTCCGTGGCAAAAGCTCGTCTGGAGGCTGCAGTCCTAAGGCAGGGCCTCTGTTGGTCCCAAGTTGGAGAGGCAAGATGAAAAAAAACACACGGCTTAGCTGGGTTTGCTTCATTCTCCCCTACATCTGAAACCACCCCTCTTCTTGCTAAGGGCTGGGGGGGAATTTTGCTGTTTCAGGTCCAGGAGAAGCAAAAGGAAGCCCTGGAATGGAAGAAGAAGCACGACAAGATTTATGCCGAAAAGAAAGAAATGGAGTAAGTATAAAGTGGGGAAACGTTACGCTTGCTCTGTAATGACGTGGCAAGAGATGGGCTTTTGTGCCCTAAGGCGGGACTAGGACTCCCCGTCTCCTGGTGATCGGCCCGGAGTCTAAGGTGAAACTAGAACTCACCACCTCCCAGGATCTTGCCTGGTGCCTTAACCACTGGGTTTACTATTCTTTTTCTCACCGGTATGCCGTGGATAATCCCTCTAACTCAGTGGTTCTTAACCTTTTTGAACGAATCGCCCCCTTGAGCCAATGAGGAAGTTGTCATCGCCCCCCCTCCCCCAACATAACCCCTCCATCACAACATAGGAAATAATTCTTCAATTTATGCAAACCCTTTTTTTTTGTTTTCTTTAAAATTGTCATCGGGACATATCGATGCAAATCATTTATTTCCAGTCTTTTTCCCATATCTCAACTGTGTGAAAAAATTTTGGTGCCGCCCGTCACTTTATTCCCAAACTTCGTGATGCATGTATTTCATTATTATCATCTTATTTATTCAAGACACTTAAATGTAATGACCACTGAAAACAAAATTCAAATTAAATTTTCGACTGCACCAGAAAAACACACGCGGACATCGACAAACCTAGTTTCAACAGTTACGTTGACATTACAGCTGACGTCACGGGGGACAGCCACTCAGCGTGCGATGTTTCGAAAGAAGCGCTCCCCCCTCCATCACTGCCCATTCTGGCCAATGGCGCGCCACTGTATGGGTAGAGGCTGCTGCGCAACGCGCACGAAGATAAGCGATGCGTATTCACCTATGTACGGCGTTCTGTACTGAAGCTAGCTGGAGGAACATTTGAAAACACAATTCAATCCGCTAATAGCGAGCAATCTGATGTTCTTGTACAACGGATATACAGCGATTCCCTGTACGAAAAAGTCTCAAAAGTGTCCCCAAAACTTCTTGCTCCATCGCCCTCATATCGCCCCCTTTTCGTTCCTTCGCCCCCCTGAAAAATGAAATCACCCCCTGGGGGGCAATATCGCCCAGGTGAAGAACCACTGCTCTAACTGATGAGACTGTAGATGCCTCTCCTCTTTCCCTTTTGCAAATTCTCTGTCTTAATGCAGCTTTTGTTTTTGAGAGGGCAAATGTCTTTCTTGTTTTAGCTTCGCTTGACTCGGTCTCCTTCGCCTAGTTTTGACAGGAGGGCCTGGGAGTTAAGGGAAGCCCCCTCCTCAGAGGATAAAGGCATTTGCTGACAGAACGCGGGGCCTCTTCGGCAGGTGCGAGATTGGATCGATATCCCGACGGCATGTTAAAATCATTTTTCCTCTTTTCTTTTCAGAAAAATTGTCGCCGAGTTTGAGGGCATCATAGTACAAGTGATGGGTAGGTCCAGATCACACGCTGTAAACATTTATTTCTGAGGGAGAAGCTGTGCCCCACAATTGCCTCTGGACCTGGCATTCTGCGTCTTAAGACTCAAATGCATGAAGCTTCCTTATCTGCAGCTGACTAGGAAACAGACTAGATCAGTGTTTCTCAACCTTGACAATTTTAAGGCATGTGGACTTCAACTCCCAGAATTCCACAGCCAGCAACGCTGGCTGTGGAATTCTGGGAGTTGAAGTCCACATGCCTTAAAATTGTCAAGGTTGAGAAACACTGGACTAGATGGCTAAATGAAGGTGTTGTGACGCTACACGGCTCGTAGTGCCAAGTGAGGGACGCTGGGGACGTAATTCAGTGATACTGGGAGGGCTTCAGGTTGGGAGACCCTGGCATAGATGCTCCTTCCCCAAATTTCTAGATTTTAAGATCAATAATGGAACAGGTAGAGTCTTAGTTTGGGGGAACCCCTTCCTGGCTTTTTCCATATCCTAGAACTGCAGCCCCCCCCCCCCAACCTTTCTGGCACCAGGGACCAGTTTTCTGGAAGACAATTTTTCCATGGGGGGCAAATGGGAACGTAGATCCCACACCATGTGCAGATGAAGCTTCATTCGCTTGCCCGCTGCTTGCGCGTCGGTGGTTTGCAACGTGGGCCACGACCCAAAGAGTGTGGGGACGGCTGTCCTAGAACGTTGTGCCAATTTTATTTCCGTAGAGGATTGTCAGAGCCAGAAGGAGCTGGCCAAAAAAGAAGCACAGAAGGCCTTGGATGAAAAACAGCAGGCCGTTTCCGACCTGAATGCCTTGGAAACCTCTTTCTCCGAATTCTTCAACCGGTTTAAAAAACAAAAGGAGGCCATCGAAGGATTTCAAAAGGTGAGCGGTTTTTTTTTTCAGCTGCTCCGACTCTCTTAAACTTTCAATTTAATAATAATAATAATAATAATAATAATAATGATAAAGTTGGAAGGGACCTCAGAGGTCATTTAGTCCAACCCCCTGCTCAGGCAGGAAACCCTATACCATTTCAGACAAATGGCCGTCCAGTCTCTTCTTAAAAACCTCCAGTGTTGGAGCATTCACCGCTTCTGGAGGCAGGTTGTTCCACTGGTTAATTGTTCTAATTGTCAGGAAGTTTCTCCTTAGTTCTAGGTTGCTTCTCTCCTTGATGAGTTTCCACCCGTTGCTTCTTGTCCGGCCTTCAGGGGGCTTTGGAGAATAGCTTGACTCCCTCTTCTTTGGGGCAGCCCCTGAGATATTGGAAGGCTGCTATCATGTCCCCCCTCGTTCTTCTCTTCGTTAAAGTAGACATTCCCAAACCAATTCCAGCAACCGTTCCTTATATGTTTTAGCCTCCAGTCCCCTAATCATCTTTGTTGCTCTTCTCTGTACTTTTTCTAGAGTCTCAGCATCTTTTTTACATCGTGGTGACCAAAACTGGATGCCGTATTCCAAGTGTGGCCTTACCAAGGCATTGTAAAGTGGTATTAATACTTCACGTGATCTTGATTCTATCCCTCTGTTCATGCAGCCTAGCACTGCGTTGGCTTTTTTTGGCAGCTGCAGCACATTTTTTTCCCTTTAAAGCTTAAAAGCTTGAAGCTTTGAATGTCCTTCTTTTGAATCAGGATCTTTGTCATCGGCACAGAGGTGCCTGTATTGCTAATACAAGATAAACAATTGCAGTTGTGACAAATCTTCAAACGTCTGGGGATAATTGTGTTTTTGAAGGAGTGTTAAATAGATCCTAAAACACTTTGCTGTGTTCCTTTTTACGTGCTGTTGATAGCTCTTTATGCTGGTTATTTTTGCCTGGAGGGTGCTGTTTCTGCTTTTTTTTAAAAAAAGGTGTTTGCTTTCTGTACATGTGGAATCAGTATTGTCTCCCGGTTAATTACACTAATTGGTCAAAAGAGAATGGCATCACCAAGCCAACATTTATTTTAAATTCCAGTTTCTGCCTCTGATCAGCTATCTGTGCTTGCTCTGCTGGAGAAAAACAGTTTTGCCTAAAGAAAGTTTTTGCCTCCAAACAGGCAAAATGCTAACCCTACATATCCACATAAGACTTTTTAAGAATCTAATTACCAATAGTTTAGCAACGGTGACAACACTGGTGAAAGGAGCTAGGACAGGGGTGGTAGGCAACCTTGGCTCTTTTCTGACTCGTGGACTTCAACTCCCAGAATTCTGGCTCAGGAATTCTGGGAGTTGAAATCCACGAGTCAAAAAAGAGCCAAGGTGGCCTACCCCTGAGCTAGGACCTTCCATTTTCTATTTTGAAATTTTAAGTACTTATTAGCAGAGCCAGAATTTAAGGCCTCAAACTGATCTTTCCTCCAAAAGAACAAATGTATAATATTCCCATTCGGAAGAGGATCGTTTTCGGTGATGGCCAGGCACGGGGGTTTCGTGTTCAAGAAGCAAGCGGGCAAGGTGGGAACTGTCCCGGGGCGGTGAAATCAAAGGACTTTTTTTCTCGCTCTCCAGAATGAAGAAACTCTGAAGAAATGCGTGCAGGATTACCTGGAGAGGATTAAGAAGGAGGAGCAGAGATACCAAGCCCTGAAGGCCCACGCGGAGGAGAAGTTGGATCAGTGAGTGGGGGCGTCAGGGTCCCCCACGGGCTGAGGCTGCTCTCAAGATGGGGAGAGGGGGGGGGGAAAGAAACCCTTCAATGGGGCCGTTTTTCTCGCACGCAGAGCCAACGAGGAGATCGCCCAGGTGAGAAGCAAAGCCCAGTCGGAGGTGGCTGCGCTCGATGCCAACCTGCGCAAAGAACAGATGCGGGTCCAGTCGCTGGAGAGCAGCATCGAGCAGAAGGTCAGTCCGACCCCCCGTCCTCCCAGGGAGAGGAGACGCTCTTCCACGCTCTTCTTTTTCTTTTTCCCCCCACTAATGGCGAATTTATGGCCCCGGGGGACACAGCGTGCCGTTTTTGCTGGCGGGCCGGCCGGCCTCCGGAGCCTCCGAAACATGGCCCGAGTGCGCTTGCCACAACTGTCCCCCTGGCTAAGCCAGCCAAGGAAACTGCTGGGGCATCTTTTGGCCAAGAGTGCCATTTTCCTGAAGATGCTCCGTGGGTGCAGAAGTAGAAACGGTCATTTTAAGTGGTTTCACACACAAACAAAAACAGCACAGGAACACTTTCCCTTCTCCCCTCGTCCTCCCACCGTCCATTACTCTAGCCCAGGGGTGTCAAACTGCCGGCCAACGGGCCGGACGCGTCACCGGGAAGCCGCGCCCATCCCATTGCCAGCAATGGCAAAATCGGCCCGATATGTTGCTTGACGTCGCGAGTTTGACACCCCTGCTCTAGCCAATCGGTTACACTCGCTTTGTTTTGGGGAACAGTCTCTCCGCCTCGGACTTTCCCTGCTGATGACCTCGGGGTGCTGGATTTGTCTCATTCCCCCTCGCATTCCTTTGGCCTCTTCCCCCCCTCCTCTTCCCGTTGCTGCCCCCTGGTTGTGAGAGGGGGGGTTTCGTGGCAAGCCACCCATGACAGACCTGCTTGCCCGATTTCTGGAGGCTCCAGATGCTCTGGGATTTCTAGAATGCGGAGAAGAGACCCATGGGAGAGGAGGGTCCAGAAAGGCCTCTTTTGTTCAAGATGTGTATGTGTGTGTGTGAGAGAGAGAGAGTTGTCAGCAGAGTCAAGGTAGGCATTCCCTTCCAACTCTGTTATTCTTTTATTCGGTACTTCCAAGATGAGGGTTACCATGACTTGGCTAGAAAAAGCCGACGTATGCTCCCATCTGGGCAAGCAAGTAGCTGCCATTCACTCCTTTGAAGAAAATTACTCAGCAACGTGAAATTTGTGACGCCTTAAAGTTATCGTTTCCTATAGCAATTCTAGCTAACTCTTCACTGAGAAGCCTGCAGATCAAGCAGATTCATCTGTGAGGCATAAGAAAAAACTGCCCTCTGAGCAGACATTTGGAAGGTGGACTATAAAATTCAAGTTTAACTCTACTTAAACTATGAACACATGCAGCTATATTTCGATTCTTATGAGTACCACACACAGATGCATGTACAGAGAGAGAGAGCTGTTCCTATGAAGGAGAACTCTGTTAATATAAATGTATTTGTGGTGGTGGTGAGTTCTTTCTAAATTGTATTTTATGCAACATTTACCATATGATGCTTTATTCTTGTTTCTTTAACAGGTAAAAGAAAATAAGGAACTCACAAAAATCTGTGAGGAACTGATCTCTAAGATGGAAAAATTGTGCTAGATCTCTTCATTCCTCCCATTTTGTTCTCCAGTTTTGGGGTAGATTATTTATTAAATGTTTTTCTATGCTTTAGTGTCACTAGTCTGACTAATATTGTTTGATATGAAATAGTTCCTGTTTACTCCCAGTTGTTGTTTCTAAAAAGCAGTTGAAGAGGCGTAAAAATGATTTTGTGGATAACAAGGTTTAATGTATTTTTTTTTCTGCAGTCTTTAAGCTACTGATATTTGATAGGATATTTTCTGCATTCCTGAACTCCTTTATTGCTTCCTTATATTTTTTTGACAGGAAGGAATTAGTTTCGTTTTGTATGAAACAAATAGAGAAATGTATCTTTCATTTAAAAATGAATGCTTCTGATATTATATTGATCCTTAACTGTCGTATTCATACAAATCAGTATGCAGAAGCTGAAACTGCAAAATATTCTGTCTCGAGCCATTTAGCTCTCTCTCTCTTTGGTCTTTAAAATAAAGCTGTATATTTTATAACTAAATGAATAAATAGTAT